TTCTTTTTTTTTTTTTTTTTTTTTGGTAATGCTAAGGATGGAACTCAGGGTCCCCCTCCTGCTAGCCAAGTGCTTTACCACTGAGCTTTTCCCCTAGTCCTTAGTCTATTTCTGCAAGCTAACTTCCAGTCATAAGAGGTGGTACTGTAAATTTAGAAAAGATATTTTTAAATCACAAAAGAAATAATTATTTTGCTTTATCAGGGAGAATTGTACATTTTTAAACTCCACAAATCCAATATATTAAGTCATGTCCTTACTTGTACTTTACAGAAAAATATTCATTCATTTTTGACATCCGTGCTTTCTTTTTCTGCTGTCTTGTTTCAGGGTTAAAGTCTGCTACCTGTGGTCCAGGGTTTTGAAATGCCAGGCATTTCAGCTGCCGCTCTATTTGTTGCTGTGAAACAAACAAAATGCTTTATCAGTGAGAGACAAATAATTTTATTTATTTTACACTGTCTCAAAAAGAACTCAGCCTGAGAGCAAAGATTCTTCCTGTGGAGTCCTGACTGAGCGTGCCCTTTCACCAAATCCGTGAACAGCTCACAGGTCCCCAAGCTGGGAACTCAGTGAATACTAAGAAGTCATGAAATCCAAATGCCATACCAGTTGCTTCTGTCCAATTTGACAGTTTTTCTCAGAAGTACTTTGATGTGTGTGTCCCTCTTGAATGGAATTGTTTTTATCTGCCCGTTCACTCATTTTTGATCACTAAAAAAGTAATGGGAAAGAAAACGTATTAATATCACACCTCTCCAGTAACCTTCCTTATAATTCTTTTCTGCTCTCCCTTCAATTTCTTTTAGGCCCAGCCTTCCTAAAAGAGCCATTTACACTCCCAGCTCCTTTATTCCCACTCACTCTTTCTGTGTGTGACTCCTAGAACTCTCTGCTGGCTTTTTTCCCTAGCAACTGCTCCATGAGCAAATTAATTGTACCTTGTATGATACCTAGCACCACAGACATCACTGGAATAGGCAACAATGGAACTATTCTCTCCTGCTTAATAAGACTGTGAATTTTTATACTTCTCCTTTCCCTTTCCATCCTTTTAACACTTACTCTCTTGAGAAAAAAAAGTAAGACATGTTTACGTCATATACCCCGTAACTTACTGAAAAACCTCATCTACTCCCTTGACTCCAGCTGCCACCTTCTCAGTTATCATTCCCCAGCTCCTCAAAAAGCCTTGGTCCTCACCCCGACTCAAGTTTTCTGACAAATTTCTAATACAACTTGGGCTAAAAGAAAGATATCGGTTTTCCCTAACACTGAGCTGCTGAAATGCCTATAATTTACTTCATTGTACTTCAGTGTACAGAGGAGTACTGGCTGTGTGTGTGTGTGTGTGTGTGTGTGTGTGTGTGTGACTGTAGTGAAGTCCACAGTTACTGATCATAAGTGGGCAATGCAGAATTGGTCTGCAGTGCTTTATCAACATCTCTGTGCCTAATTTCTGCATCCTACTTTCCAATTCCCAATCTTACATCAGGAAATCTTATTCATTTTTATTTTCTCATAGTGCTAACATGTATTTTATCTATTTTCTATGGAGTAGTCTATCATAATAATAATAATAGTAGCTATAGTCACAGTAGTAGCAGTGGTAATAGTGGTATATGTTACCTCTGACCAAGATGATCTTAGCTTGACTAAACTTCAGGCAAACTTCTTCCTGACAATAAGACCTTGACATTCTTTCCTTGGAGCATTTGCTGTAGAAAAGTTTCAATTATAAACTTTTTTTGCCCCCTTTAGATATAAATCCTCTTTTATGCTCCTGTCATTTTGCAGTCCGGAGCTATTCTTAAGGACCTGGTGCCATCCTTTTGAAAGGTAATCAAGGGAGACAGCACTCTATCAGAGGATAAGAGGCTAATTTTGATTAAGTACCATTTAGCAAACACAGGTGGCCTTATCACAAAGAAAGACATTTGCAAAAGTAAATCAATGTGCTTGACACATTCATTGACCAGTCTCTCCCTCATGTACTCCAGTACTTTTCCAATGGTTTACCAGCTGGTTTCTGTAATGTAGCAGTTAACACATTTACCTCACACTTTTCCAGTAGTTTATCCCAGCCCTTAAGAACTTGCTCAACCTTTGTTTTACTGGAATTAAATTCAGGCTAAGTTCTGGTCTCTGTCCTTTGTGGGAATATCTCTGAATAGTCTTCCACATTTCTTTAAAAATTGCACTTTGTCCAGAACAATTTTTACTGTCACACTGTCACACGTTAGTTCAAATGGGATTGAACAATTTTTCCTAACGAGTGTTTTTCAACTTGTATGAAGATAAAACTACAGAACTGTTATAAAAGTCAGATTATGTGATGAATCCCAGACCTACTGGAGTTATAATTTACAAGGGAGCTTTAGAAAATTATGAACTCAACTCATTCACAAGGGCTGGTCATAACTCAAGGTGGTCAATTGAAGGCTCAGACTCCTATACACAGTCTTTGAAGTCTCTCTCCTATACACAGGCAGATCTCAGTGTCCTTATACAGACACTGGCCCAGGATTTCTCAATTAGCCCCACACAGGAAAGGATGTTGTAATGTTCCTTCCAGAGCTCTTTAAGGATTAAATCTGTATCTGAGACCATCTGGAAGCATAAGCAGCTGGCATTTTGGTCATAACTCAAGACTTTGGTTGTAAGTTACAACTAAAACACCAGTCATAACCCAAGTTGTTCCTATGACAGGCTGGTCATAACTCAAGGGTCCACTGTATAGGAAACACTAGGATAGAAAAAAGACGTATAATTTTCTCCATCCAGCCTGGCTAGATGACTCTAAAACTACTGTCCACACCTTCTTCCACATTCTCTAAAACTACTCTCCACAGTTTCATTTTGTGAAATATATTCTGGCCATGTAAATGTTCTTAACTTACAAATTTATTTTGCTTCTATTAAAAAATCAATGAGTCCTCTCTTCCAATAATGTCCTACATCCCCAGCATATCACTCAAAGTCCATCCCAGCTGTCTGCCACACCTATTGGCCTAAGATTGTCTCCTGGCATAGCTACATTTGAGCTGAAAGTGCCTGATCACTTCCTATTAAGGCAACTCACTTTGTACCTAAATGAATCTTTCAACTTTGGCCCCACACTGTCTGGCTTCTTTATATAATAAAAGTTCCTCCTTATAGACAGATATGACCATCTCTGCAATAGAGAACTTTTCCTGAAATGGTAAGGGATTTACATCACTGGGAGAAATAAGCATCTTTTACAAATCTTCTCCCTGGGGAAACTTTGCATCCTTCATGAAATGTAAGTCTACACAAAAAGATTAGGAGGAAAACTTGCTCCCTTTGTTCCAAATAAAGTAAAAAAGAAATTATAACAGCGTTTCATGAGGTACTGAAATTATAACAAGATTTTATTGTAACTCTGAAGTATCTGTTCCAGGAAAAGTATAAAAAGGTTCTGAACTTCCTCTCCCCTTGTTTGGTATTCCTAAAGCACTGGTTCTTAACTCGACAATACAGGGGGTCCTTGAACTTGGATGAATAAAAAATACATGTTTATTTTCACTAGCTTCTAACTGAAATTCTGACATTTCCTTCTATTAAAATGTAATCAACAGACCTCAACAGTGTTAGCAGTATTTGACTTTGTTGACTATGAAAATGCAAATTTTAGTAACCCATTAGAATTACTGCACATGTCAACATTTCATTGATATCTACCACTTCTTCAAATTGATGGTAGTTCTTAGGCCTTCCACTAGAACTTATTACCTTATGTGTTAATGATTAAGCACATATGTAAGTATCAAAACATTTTGCTAAGTGTATTTTCATCTAGTTTCCTTTGAAATGTTGTGGATTTTACTTTATAAGATTAAAACCACCTTCTGAAAAACAGTCCGTGCCTATCACTATCTGCCAAAAGGGTCCATGACACACAAAAGAAAAGATTAAGAGCTCCTGGAAACAGGCCTGGAGAACCTACTACCACCATCTCCACCATTCATGGTGATGAGAAAGGCAGCTACTGGCTCAGGGTCATCCAGCCTAGAGAAGATGCTGGGCTTTAAGCAAATGGCTGCAACAATAGTATGTCCTGAGTTACTGTGTTTTACAGGGATGCAAACAATATGAAATTGTTTAACAAACTATTTTCTATTAACACTATGGCATATTACTTGTGAAAGATCCAAATATGGTCCAAAACAAAGGAAAGAGAATCCTAGACTCCTAATCCAGACTTTAAGAACAAAGTTATCCTAAAAGTGATATGAAGATGGAAGGGATATGTTTGATATCAGCCTGGGGAAAATGAACAAGTTTGGCCAGAACAGAAATCACCTGATTCATAAAGCACACTGGGTAGTTTAGCTGACTTTTTTCTTCATAACAAGGCTGCCTTCCTGGAGGAAACAGTTCACTGATTTACCTTTTAACACAAGCTCCTTTATTCACTACCACTCTAGAAGTGTGTCAGTTAAGTCTAACATTCATCATCTTTCTGTTTTTCAATTTTCAATGAAATTATAATTTTTACACGGAAGTTCCTATTTCTATTAGGTTTTCTGCTTACTTGGAACAGAATTCCACCTTTGCTTTTTTATTAATGCATATTAATTATACAGAATAATGAGTTTCATTGTGACATATCACCCCTCTTACCCTCCTATGTCCTACCCTACCCTACCCTTCTTATACCTCTTTTTACTCCCAGGAAGCCCAGACTATTTAGTAGTCAGTGCTCAATAAATAGCTTATAAATAATTCACTTATAGCATCTGTTATTTGCTAAACATTACACATATATTCATTTATTGACTTTTCAACAGTGTGAACTACACATTATTTTTCTACTTTAAAGATGAAGAAACAGACTGATAAAGATCATTTAGGTCACATAGTTATTACTAGTTGTATGAGTTTTGAATCCTCATCTGTCTGACCCCCAATACTATGCCCCTTTCAGGATGTTATACTGTTATGGCCTGTGTCTAGATATATCCCCAAAACTTCATGCAGTCACAGGGTGGGGGTCTTTTTAGAGGTGGCTAGATAAGAGCATGTGATGCTGGGACCAGTCACTAAATTATTCCACTGATTGGTTTGGCATAGTTCTGAGTAGGATTAGGGGTACCCCACTCTGCATGGAATATAAGGGACAGAAAGAGGCTCACTGCTTATTGCTTGCTGCTTTGCTGCCTTCTGCCTGCCAAGAACTGTTTCTCCTTTGTGATGGCCCTCTGCCATGCTGCCCTGGCTTGGCTCCTTGGAGCAGCCAACTATGGACTGAAACCTCTACAAACTGAGCTAAACTAATCCTTTCCTCCTTTAATTTTCGGTGTTGAGTATTTTGTCTCAGCAACAAGAAAAGCAACTAAGACAATGTTTCAAGGTTTATTTTAATGGTGATCATAGTCTTTACATAGGATATTGCTGAAGAAGGGGATGCAATTGATACCAGCCACACAGAGCCTTTTCAAGGGATGCAGAAGATGTGCTGAGGAGGGATGGGAGGAATGCCTCCCTTAAGTCACTTCAAGTTTGCTTCAGTTTTTCTACAGTAGCACACAGATAGATACCTATGCCAGGAAAAGGCTCTCATCTTAGGCCACAGTTGACTTCAGAACTGGATTTTGAAGTCAGCATAATGAGGAAAGTAACTGTATTAGTCTCCTTGGGTTGCCATAATAAAATACCATGAAGTGGGTGGCTTAAATAGCACACATTTATTTCTCACAGTTCTGGAGGCTCAGAGCTTCAAGATCATGGTACCAACTGATTTGATTTTGGCAAGGGCTCTCTTTCTGGCTTGCAGAGTTTTTTACCAACTCCTTTCATGGCCTTTTCTTGGTGTATTCATATGACAGGGAGAAGGGTAGATCTTTGTGTCTTGCTCTTCTTATAAGGGTACCATTCTTTCAAATTAGGGCCCTTTCCTTATGATTTCATGTAACCTTACTTAGTAAAGGCCTTATCTCCAAATATAGTCACAGTGAAATTAAAGCTTCAGCCTATTGATTATTTTAAGAGAGGATGAAATTCAGTCCATATACTCACATATAGGCAAAATTACTCTTTAAAATTCCTTTATACAAATATCATATTGGAAGACTCCTATACAGACAGATATTTCTGCAGCACTGGAATAGAGTATTGTTTCTTAGGTTGAACAACCAATGAAGTAGTTAGTTTATACATAGGAGCCATGCTGACTAAATTGGTCATTATGGAAAGTGATGTTTACCTTTAAACTCTGGAGTCACACACCTGGCAAGCTGCACACTCTCTGGAGTCCTCAAGAACTATGTCACCTGAAGAAAGAGCACCACGTCAGGTCTCGATTGTCACACTCACTCTGAGGCACAGAGGGAACTCCAGGCAACAAAACAAAACAAACTCCCACTTTATCACTTATACTCATAGTTAGGGTACCCTGGAATGTGTACTGCTGTATCACGCATAGGATAGAATGAATATTGTTCTATGTTTATCCCTAAAGACATCAGCAAATTATCAAAGCAAGGCATGTGTTCAGTTTAAACTCTGGGCCAAAAGCTGTCCTCTATTTTTATTAGTATCAGATAGAGTCATTTGTTCAGAGACACTATCTCTTAAGATTCCCGGATAATTGTTTAGAAGTGAAAAAGTACACATATATTTGTGAAAGACAAAAGAGTTAAGCTATTTTAATCTTATCCTGTCTCTGGCCTCAATTCCTTCTCTTGCTAAAAAAAAAAAAAAATGTCACTGAGATAATTGATAGATTTGTCAAATCCTACCAGGGTCTTGCTAAAAAAAAAAAAAAATGTCACTGAGATAATTGATAGATTTGTCAAATCCTACCAGGGACATATTTGGTAAAGAGAGATGACATTGTGCAGGTGGTCAATTAAATTATCCCCTTGCTGTTCCTTGCCAGTTGAGTCAGCTGTTTCAAAGTCACAAAACTTCAATAACTTCTAAAAATACTCCATTGCCGTTTGCCCATCAGAACCTAATTTTGACCTCTGCTTTTCAGAATACCATTTAATAAATAATGTAAGTGCTTTAGAAACAACTTCATAGTAAACACAGATATTCCAGAGATACTTTTAAAGCTGACATTTCTATACAACACACACACACACACACACACACACACACACCACACACACACACACACACACTCACAGTGTATGGTTCAATATAAAATAATGTGGAAAAACTATGACATATTTGAAATAATTTGCATGGAGGAGAGAATTTAATTATCTGGAGAACACAATACAACCATATAATTGCTATTACTAATTCCATAACTACAGCAGTCTGGTATCACTTTAAAATCAATCCCCCTAAAGTGCCTAATGGGTCAGTTACAGATCAGCAACTACAAGAGCCCCTTTAACTACACATCTTTTACAGTTTGGAACTCTTAAATTACACATTCAAATTTTGCTTTGCAATTTGCAGGATTGTGAGAAACAGGAACCTGTCAGTTTACCCTGCCCCACTGATAGAGAGTAGAGAAGGAAACTTTCACAAAACCGGAAGGCTGGACTATAGTCAGCACTATCTGATAAATATTATTTAAAAACACTCATCTCCAGTACTTCAAGGTGAAGTTTCTTTCTTCTACTTTCCTACAGTACTTTTATGCTCATTTCTTAGTTTTCATTTTTATTTCAGTTGACCCTGCAATAACGGAACTCCAACTGTCTTTCCCTCTCAAGGACAACATAACAGCAGCATGTATTCGGAGAGAGCCTTCTGTGGCTTGTTTCTGCTTGCTCCTTCTCTACCGGCCTCAGAGGGCACTAAGTTTAAAAAGCTTCAGGCGTGGAGGAGAGGCCTTCGCATGAAGTACCACATTTCTGTTTTTGCATACTTCTTAATGACAGTTGCCCACAGAAGCTGAAGTCCTAGGGTGATAAAGAGAAAATACACATACCTTTAAGTTGAATGGAAAGAAGGAAAGAATACAGGAGAGAAAGAGAAACTGTACTCCTTTGTTTTCTTTGTTTTGCTGAGAAACCATAGAACCCTCAAGGGAAAAATCCTAAGGCCTCAAAGGTGTTTCTATAATTTAGTGCTTTGATAATAATGGCTGGGAGGAGGAGGAGGGGTAGAAAGGGTGAGGGGTTGATGTGTCATCTCGCTCTCCACTGTGAGTTAATTTCTAAAATCCTATGAAATCTGTGATAATCTTCTCTGCCATTTCCCATTCAAAACAAGCAACTGCTCTAGAGTTTTGATTGTATGGCTCAGTATCACATCTCAACTTCAAATGTTTAATATTAACGCCAGATTACTCATTGGCTATATATGCATGCGTGTAAAAAGCACACTGTCTTTGTATTTTTTGGCTAACAATTAAGAAAAAACTGTGTTACCGCAAGAGAAAACTAAACCATGTTTATAACCTGTGTCTAAGAAAAGCATTAATCTCTAAATTATAGCCCTCTAAACATTGTCCTCTGCCACCAGGATTCAGATAGTATGCTGTGAATCATTAAAACCACTTAATTGGCAGGTTAATACCAGCCCTGTTCATTTGAGAATTACAGGGTAAAAACCACTATTTCATTCCTAATTACTTTCATTGCAAAGAACAAGGAAAGGAAACCAAATCTTTAGGAGCTAGCAATCCAGCTGGCAATGATGAAAAAGATTAAGGTGACTCCAGCATGAAGTGTATTCAATCTGAGCCTTATATTTATTAAGGAACTGCTATCTTTTAGGTAAATTTTGAATAACCACAAATACATTTAATCTTTCTAGTTGTAGGCTGATAAAACTCAAAGTGGGGATAAACTTCACCAGACATTTCTACAATTAATCACAATCTATAAAACAATTATTTGGCCAAGGTTTGGCTTCATTCTGACAGTCAGTAGAAGAGATTTTCTGGTGACTTTAATGTATTAGTTCCAAGTTTCTTAAGCACAACCTAACTCAGTTTCTGAACTATCAACTAGTAAGTCATCAAAGAACTGTGCAGCATCTCTCTTAAAGATTACAACTTAATTTTAAAAGATGGAAGAGTATTTTTCAAAGATAACAAAGATGTCACACTAAGTTTGCTAGTCCAGAATTGATTGTACTTTGGACATGACTTTTTACTAAGAAAATACATTTCTGTCTCTTTAGATTTTCTCAGGTTTGCTAGAGAATAAGTGTAATATAATGTAAAATTGATTGTTTTTTTCCAAAGAAGGATTCACATGCTAAAACACTCCTTGGTTCATCTATTTTTATTTCTTTTTCATTTTTAATCCTATTTCAAGCAAAAAACAGATTTGTAGGATTTGTAATAAATGTAGGTTGTAGACCAAAACAGAACAAAATGAAAACATTGAATGCTGTTTAATAATGCATACTCAAATAATAATCTAAGGCATAAATGGGAAATTTTTACCTTACACATTCATTTTGGTCTTTCAAAACTTATACATTTTAGCCTGTTGTAGTGGTGTATGCCTATAATCCCAGCACTCAGGAGGCTGAGGTAGGAGGATTACTGTGAGTTCTAGACCAGCCTGAGCTACATAGTGAGTTCCAGGTCACTCTCAACTGCATAGTGAGACCTTGTCTCAAACAACAACAACAGATGTATACATCTGGATTTCCAGTGAATTATATATCTTTCTTAGTACATATTGATCATATACAAAGGATTTCATTGTGACCTTTTCATACATGCATGCAATATACTCTGACTATATCTTCCCTCCCTTTACCCTCTTGGCCCCCTTCCTCTTCTCCAATAGCCTACCTTTCCAACTTTACCTATTGATTCTCAGAGTAAAAACCTGTTTGGTTTCATTTATCAGTTTGTAGCTATTTGCATATTAATTTGCAGTATAAAATGTACTTACAATTTATGAGCTTATTAATTATATAGTAGTACTAATTATAATTGCAAAATATTGAAATACCCACACATAGTAGCATGGTACATATGCATGGTAAATCAGAATACTATGCAATTGTGAAAAAAGAGTAAGGAAGATTACTATGAAGTGACATAGTATGGTTTCAAAAAATTTTTATTTAAAAAAGAGTAGGAAAGTGTATTTCCTTAACTTATGATGGAGTAGTATTCCATAAATCCATGGGTAAGTTTAAAATGTATAAGTCAAAATGCATTTACGGACCCAGGTGTGGTGCTGCACATCTCTAATCCCAGGTTTGGGAAAGAGGAACATAAGCTGAGTCTAGCCTGGGCAACTTAATGACTTAGTAAAACCCTGTCTCAAAATAATAAAAAGATTGGGTATGTAGCTCAGTGCAACAACTCTGGATTCAATCACCAGTACTGCCAAAAAGAAAAAGTATGTATGGCTGGGGGTGTGCCTCTGTGTCGGAGCATCTGCTCATCATGCATAAGGCCCTAGGTTCAATCTCTAGGACTGAAAAACATGTACCTCTAATCTGTGAACGTCCTATCGTAGCAAAATGGTGTCCTGCAGAGTACCATTTGTTTCCATTGGGAGGACAGGGCTGCTTGAGAGTTCAGGCTGGATGTGGGTCCCACATCTCAGGAGGGGATCATTGCACAGGTCCAGCATGGGTAACAGAAGGTAAAATCTGAGGTCAAAGAATCATCAGCTGAACCACTGTAAGTTGAGAGCCGGGTTGTCTGTATATGACCCTCATGTACGAAGGGGATAGAAGAAAATTCCTATTGTGACCAAACAGTTTTAGTAAATTCAGTAGATTTCTGTATGAAATTAGTATGTATGTTTGTATGAATTTAATAATTCATACAGTGATTCAATAGGTTTTTTGTTGCAAGATAAAAAGCCATGGCATTGCCACAAGCCTCTAAGGAAGCACTGCAGCATCATCTTTTCTAGTTTTATTATATTAAACTTTTTAACATATTCAGCAGGTATTGAATAAGCTTTCACTGGGCTTAAGCAGCCCTCTAATCGAAAGACTCCAGTAAAGCACCATTGGGGTCTGCGCACCATTACTTAAGGCACACTACGGTATTTGTTTGATCAAGGTGCTGTTCTGCTATGGAATAGTAATCAGTTGTTCATCTGAAAAGCATATTTGCTGGTGGGAATCACTGTGAAGACCCAGAGGTGTGGAACTGACAACCCAAGGCAGCACTGGCAGCTCCGTCACTGGGGGCTTTCAAGAGTAGCCTGGCTACTCTTGGTATCAGTCACCACAAAGACATGATTCTTCTCTTCCAGAGCTCACAGGACTAGTACTAGGAGGATACGTAGTTAAATAAGTTCAGGCTGTTTATCACAAATGTTCAAAGTACCACTGAGCAAGTAGAGAGAGACTGATTAGCTTTCCCCGAGAAGAAAGGTGTAAAGCAAAAAACAAACAAACAAACAAAATTCCCTGGAAGTGGCTCATTTGAAAGAATCTTGTAAAGTACACAGGGAGAATCCAGCTAAGGAAGGGCTGCAGAAGCCACTGTAGGTGGGGGTGAGACTCTGAACAAGAATTTCATGTAGTGAGAAGTCTATGTATTTCACAAGGGTATATTGAGAGTGTGAAGAATTGTCCTACCTAAGATAGGGCCAAACCCCAAATGCACTACAATAGCCTATGTGTGGTAATGTGTACTTTAAAGAGTGTCATTCCCAGTGATAAAATAGAGTGGCTGGCAGGCAGATGAAGTAAGACAGAGAGGAGAGTAAGCAGAGCTATGCAACCTGAAGACCTCCAGTAACTCCATTTTGGAAAATCATTAAAATTATTTTGCATAATTTTTCTAACCTGAACAAAGTAATGTAAGTGAATATAATACACAGCTAATAGTTTTATGTGAAAATTAAATTATTTTACTCTTACTAGTATTGTATTTATTACTATATTTTACTATTATTATTAATATATATTGTGCTAATATTGTGTTGCTAATTTGATTTACTAATACTGTAGTACACTTCCTACTTCATAGAATATTTCCCATTCTCAGAACACATTTTCACTTGCTTTACTGTAATTTACTCCTATTATTCTGACATCCGGGAATGCTTTCTGTCATTTCTTTAAGAAAAACTAGAGTCATTTGGTGTGCAACAGACGCTTTTAAATAGGCATCTCTGATCTTGCAACTTTTCTTTGGGGAATTTAGTCTAAAGAAAGATAGAGACCTTCACAAAAATTTAGCTACAAAAGTAAATTTTGATCAATTTTTAGGTTGTGTAATTGCTAAGTTGGAGGTGCACAATTTAGCAATGATTTTATCAGATAAAAAGATATGATATGGTTAGCCATTAAGATGATAGTATAGAGGGCCGGGGATTTAGCTCAGCGGTTTGGTGGCCTGCCTTGCAAGTGCAAGGACCTGAGTTCAATCCCCAGTACCAAAACAAAAACAAAACAAAAAAGATGATAGTATAGAAATGTGTTTATTTACAGAAAGGAAGATCCACATATTTTATTGATAAGAAAGCAGATCTGAGAACATAGAGGGTTTTAACACATTCCCACTGGCTTGAACCACCAATGGTACATATACATCTGCCCCACAGTGTAACTTGAACCACCTTAAGGAACCTATGCTCAGAGCAGCAAGACATAAATTATGGCCCCATCATGAATGTGTTAAAAATTTCTTTGTGAGACTGTTTGGGTTAATCATACCTTTCTAGGAATTTGGCCATTTATTTCAAGTTTTCAAACTTATTGATATGAATATGTTCATGATATCATGTTGTCATTTAAATCTATAATATCCATAGTTAATTCTTAATTCAAAATATGTAGACTTTCCCTTACATTAAATTCATTAGTTCTCCCAGGAATTTCTCATCTTATCGAAGAACATTTACTATTCATCTTTGAAAGAATTTATGGAATATTTTATAATTCTATGCTACATTTTGATATTTAATTGTTTTAAGACATATGCTTAGCTCATTAATTTTTATTATTTTCCCCTATTGAAAGCATTTAAAAATATAAGCATCATTGGATTCTACCTCTGTCAACCCAGATTATATCTTATCTTATTATATCTCTATTGTTGATTTGAACTCTTTCTTCAAGGAAGAAATGTTTTCTTAATTTTTCTTCCATTATCAAATTTGTTCAGTATTTCCTTCTGCCTTATGGTGTATTTGTCCTTCCATGTGTTCCTTACTAGTTAATTGCTTCTCCCAGCACCTTTGCAGATGGCCCATTTTAATCCTTTCTGTTTATCTGTGATCTTTGTCTGGAACCCTTCCTTACTGGAACAGATAGGTGCTTATTGAAAGATGACAGGAAGAGGGCTTGGGGTCAGAGGTGCATGAGCCTATGAAAGTGGTCAGTTTGGATTGAGTTTGGATGATTTTCCACCAACCCCTGTTCAGGGCATAAGCCTTTGCCTCTGGCTCACACTTATTCCTGGTGGACAACTGAGTTTGAATGTCTCCAGTCCTCTAATTCACCAAGACCAATAGCTGCAGAGTTGATTTTTGTTACTCACTCAACTATAGTCTAACTATATTAAATGGGAAATACACAGAAATAATTCATAAGCTTTAAACTGCATGCCATTCTGAGTAGGATGTTGAAATGTCATGCCATTCTGCTCCCTGCTGGTCATGTCCAGGACATGAACTGTCCCTCTGCATATCTATGCTGTATGTGTGATCCACCTGTTAGTCACTTAGTAGGTATCTCTTATCAACTGTGGAGGTATCATGGTGCTTGTGTTCATGTAATATACAGAGTCTGGTATCATCAGCACTTTTGGGGGGTCATGGAACACATACCTCTCTGATAAGAAGGGACTACCGCACTTCTTTACATCCTTGTCTTCCCTAACAGACTTCTACCTGTTCAAAGCAGTACCCACATGACTTCTCTGGCATGTGCTACAGCAACCAGCACATTTGTCCTCATGCATATTCACTAAAAGAAAAGACAAACCACACATTTTCCACTGGGAATAGTAACTTGGTGATCAGAGCAGCAAGTCTGAGCAATTTAAGGCTTTCTTCAGAATCCAATACCCCTATCCCTCCCACCACCCTATCCTGTTAAATTATAGCATAAGATTCATGCTTTACATGAAAGGCAAGGCAAGCCTTAAGAAGCAAGCACAACAGTGATAGAGAACAGTACCTTTACATGACCCTCATATTTGCAATGTGTCCCCTCTTCTTATATCACCATAACCTGAATAAATGCAGTGATTTCAAATGATCATTGAGAAACGAAAACATATTCTTCTATGAGCATGTTAGAAAATATTGTTAGATATGAATAGATGCCTCCCTGAATTTCTTATAAAAAGCTATGGATTTCACAATTTTTAATGTTTTAAAGGAATTAGAGGTATTGATAAAATGTTAAAAAATACTTGTGAGAATAATATATGGTACAGATCTCTTATATGTGCCAGATAAATATGTCCAGCACATGGTGCAAAAAGCCTAATCTAGAACTAAAACAGCTTTGAGAAAAAAAGTAACTTACTAATTCAAGAATGTAATACGAAATTAAAAGAATCATATCCCCTTGGTATAGGTGCACCTATGTTTATAGCGGCACAGTTTGTGATAGCTAAAACTTGGAAACAGCCCATTTGCCCATCAGTTGGAGACTGGATAAAGAAGATGTGGTTTTTCTTTAAAATGGAATACTACTCAGCCATAAAGAAAGAGAAATTAGAGTCATTCATAGGAAAATGGATACTTGCCACTTCATTGGTGGAGTTTTGACATGCAAGCAATTGATCTGTATTTGCAGCCATTCCCCCAATGCTCGCATACATGCCTCAGCTCCACCTCAGATCATCAGGTATTGGATTCTCCGAAGGAACATGCATCCTAAATCATTCAAAAGGGCAATTAACCTCTGGATTCTCGCTTTTGTGGGAACCTGCTGATCTGCCAGGAGGCCGAGCTCAGGTGGTGTGGAGAGAGCTGAAGATACTGATGATGTTTGCTTGCTTGCCTGCCATTTACCTCCTGCTGTGCAGTCTGGTTCCATGGCCTAGGTGTTGGGGGCCCCTGATACAAGGGAAAATTACAGGAAAAAATTCTACACATATTCAGGACAGACACAATTTTTTAAAAGTGTTTGCTTTTCAATTGGTTGCATGCAACTGAACCCACAGATATGAAAGGCCAATCATACCTACTGACTTAATGTAGTACCATCTGCCATGCTGTGACATAATCAGATGTTCCTCCTCACTGGCCAACCAGATGGAGCCACCCAAACTTGGAATTTGCACTCCCAAACTGTGACCTAAATAAATCTTTTTTCTTTATAAGACTATCCATGTTTGGGTGTTTTGTTATAGCAATAAAAAACAGACTAAGACAAGATGAGAGAGTCAGAGAACTTCTAAGGCAATTAGTTCAAGCAAATCTCTGAATTCTGGTAGCTGCTTTACAGAATACATAATTCATTACAATACAGGTTGAAACTGCAGCCTTGCAAAGTAGCTTCTGTGAGAATTAGGCCAGGAAAGAGAAGGAACCTGAGATGAAATAAAACAAAGCAGAAAATCATCGACTCCCTCATTCAATTGTGTACATTCTATTTACTCCAGTCTTTGCCCTTATTTCTCCAGTTTTAGGTAGGAAAACTACTTTCTGGGCTATAACTTGGGGTTCTTCTTTTACTTTTAAATTGCTATAACATTTAACAAATCCCTACCATTAAAATCTCTGTTAAAACCAATGCATTAGAAAAACAAGTATGGTTTGTTTCTCTGATTGACTCTAGTGGACACATTGACTCACAGGAATTCTCTGAAGCTGAGGCTAACTGCACATAGCATGTTGCTCAGTGTATCACAGAGAAGACATCTGCAAGGAGTGCTTTCCTACTGATTACAGCTCTTTCCTACTGTGTTATACTACATCTACTTGGGGGTGTCAAATCCTCAGATCATAAAATGAGTATGCTTTCTCTAAAATTTTGGATATGTTTTGGGACAAAGGTTGAAAGAAAACATCAACCTTATGAAGAAATGAATTGTTGGGCTGGTAATCCCACCTGCCAATCTCTTACAGGGGTTCATAAATTTTGAAGCCATCATCGGCTACTAGGTGATTAGGAAGGCCTCTTGTTCTCTCTTGATAAGTCAAAGAAACCCATGATAGAAGAAACTATAGCTATCCTCCATTATGGGGTATTCCTGTGAAAGCCTTGTAAGTGAGGCCTGAAACTCTTGGTGTCACCATGTATTATACCTGTTTATTGGAACCAATGGGACTAATAGTTAGAATTGTTCTCAAATAAGATATGCTAAAATTGAGGGTCCTTTCTAACTGATAGAGGCTCAATGCGCAGGGATAGAAAAGGCCTTCAAATCTCATGCTTAGGGCCCCTTCACTCTTCTGATACATATACTTATGAGTTTTCAGGATCTAGGACTTGTCGAATCATTAAAATAGGCCCCTCTTAGCAGACTGGAAGCAGAGAAAATGATAGCTTCCTCTCATCCAGCTTGGCATGATGTATAAAGAAATAAAAAAAAGAGAAAGCCTTTTATTTTGGTCTTTCTTACCCATGGTAATAAAAAGAATCAAAGTGCAGTTCAGCACAGGACAGGAAGGTGTCCTACACACATGCTATTTATGCATGTAGGTGCACACATATATCCCATATTATGTATATATGAACACATATGCATACACGAAGTGCCTTTTTCCACAGTGTAAACTTTTCAGAAAAGGAAATTTTTTGTTTTTGTTTTTGTTTTTTTTGAGACAGGGTCTCACTATGTAGTTGAGACTGACCCGGAACTCACTATGCATCCCAGGCTGGTCTTGAACTTGCAGCAATCCTCCTGCCTCAGCCTCCCAAGTGCTGGGATTACAGGTGTGTGCCACCACACCTAGCCAGGAAATGTTATAATATACTTTCAAGAATATAGATTATGTAGTAAAGTCTATTACAAAGCTTGTGATTTATTATATTGAAAGTTCTGATATAAAGATACCAGTTTAACAGGGCAAAAAATATCTCTATTTTTATTCTATATTTCTATAGAACTTGACTTACAATTCTAAACTTGATTTAGAATTGATAAGTTTTATCATAGCAGTCAAGTCAAAATAAGTTTTATTCATAATCTCCATAAGAGAAAGTCAAGGTGATAGTCTATAACTAGCAAAGAATTTATATGTTTGCATCCAATAACACTTAAGAATATATAGCTATATATCAGGTATTGTATAAAAGTTCTGGATGTATGCAATTCATCACTAGTTATGTGAGTGGCAGTATGTTATTTAGGTAACATTGTAGCATGGAATAAGTTAAGTTGTTGGCAGTGACTTCAAGGTTACATTCATCCATGTACAGCAGTACTTCCATTCATGAACTTAATTCCTTCCATGATTCTGGAAAAGATGGCCGTGGCGGTGTTTGTCACCCAGTGCAGAGTTCACAAACAAAAACAAAATTTTTCCAAATGTTTCTGTTTGTGAACCAAATTGTTCCCAAATAAAAGTGTTTGTGAACCAAGGTACTACTCCCCCAACTTCAAAAAAAGCAGTGACATTCTTAGTTTTAGCAATGTCAGAGTATGACACAACAGCAGTTTCAAAGAAACATTATGTGAAAATGTAGTGATTCACATTTACTTTACCTCTACAAATGTTGTGAGTTTTTAATATACCTAGTTGAAAATGAAAATTGTTGACTGAAACAATAAATTAATTCTTTTGGGACAACTTATATCTCCACTCTGGGGTCATTAAAATGTTTAATAGATCATTTCAGGGCTGTGGATGTGGTGATTATCAAATTTCAAAGAAAAAAGTTGTTTTGAAAGAAAAATGCCTTGATGTTCTAACAACAAATAACTTTTTTGAATTTATTTTATTGAAAACATACAGAAAAAAATTTTTTTTTCTAAAACCCTGATACATTTCTGGTATCTGTTCCTCAGACTGCCTCCCACTACTGTAATAAATATCAGAGAGAATCAACTTACGAAAGTTTATTTTGGCTCAGTTTTGGAGGTTTCAGTCCACGGTGGGTTGGCCCCACTGCTTGCTGGCCTGTGGCGGGGCACCAAATCACAGTGGGGAGCACGGGACAGAAAAAAATGCTCATCTAAACGTGGCAGGGAAACAGAGCCAGGGAGAGCAAGAGCCTGAAGACCACATTCCAAGGCACCCTCTGAAAGGAAGGATATGTTCCTAGTGACCTACAACCATTTACAGGCCCCACCTCTTAAAGGTTTCACCAACTTCTGTAGCTCTAAGCTATTCTAATCATCCCAAGAGCGTCCTTTATAGGCCAGTATAGAACGTTCTTTATAGTCCAGGGTATTAGTGGTAATTGCTTCACCTGGTCAGTACTATTCTGACTCCATTCTTTCACTCTTTGCTTTGTCCCAAGGGCTGCCCATTTCCTCTTTGCCCTGCACAAGCCTGCCCTAACTCTGAAGGTCCAGCAACACCAATCCCTGAGGACACATTCTCAAACTGGCAAAGCTTCCTTTTCTAATCATGTAGGCTGCTAAATAATGAGGTCCAAACGGCTGCACACTGACCTGCATCTCTGCTCCTGGAAGTGACCAGCAGGCCTTTCAGAATAGCCTGCCCATCAGTTTTGTTGTTGGCCATGAAGTCAATTGCTGGTCTTAGGTTATTGAGGGCATGCCCTTTCTTACTTCAAAGGAGACTAGAGTCTTACAGTCTTTCAATGCATGTGTTTCCCTGCATAGACAGAGAAGAAATGAACAGCCCTTTGAAAAAGGTAGAAGAAAGGAAGGAGTCAGGAGAGTAGTGGGCCGGTAAAGCAATTACCAACCATAGTTACCAGAGAGGCTGACAGCAGATAATGGCCCTCTACTGATCATAGAGTACAATATAAAGTGGTGTATGTTGAAGGTTCTACCTTATCAGAACACTAGATTTATATAGGTAAAATATTCTCATCCTTCATGGAGAGGTTGATCTGGCAGAGCAATGTGCCTGACCATCATGAGCAGTGGCAGAGATGTACTCATTTTGCAAAGGCAAAATTGGGGCAGGGGCATATGATGTGAAATAGTCAAACTGACCAAATACAGTTACTGTGCTATAGATTGGCCAAATGATGATCAGTGGATATAAGAAATATATATGTACCTGGGTGTTGTGGCACAGGTCTATAATCCCAACACTCTGGGAGGCTGAGGCAGGAGGAGTGCACGTTTAAGCCTAACCTG